GGGTTTTTTGGTTTAGAGTTTAGGGTTTAGGGTTCCTGGGAAGCAAGGCGGCTAGGCTACTGCCTTCGGTTCTTCTTAGGGTTTTAGGGTTTGGGGTGCCTTGAGTTTAGGGTTTAGGGGTTTCGGCTGTGGGGTTTAGGGTATCCGGGGTGCCTTGAGTTGCGGGTTTAGGGGTGTAGGGGTTTAGGGGTTTCGGGGTTTAGGGTGCACAGTTGGGCTTCGGGCAGGGCATAGCTAGGAAACACGGATGACTGCCATGTGCCCAGCCTTGCCGTCCGGTCCGATCACGGTGTGGTGAGGCAAACCCGAGACGCCGTAGTCCTGATGGATGTGAAGGCTTGGGGCTTTGCGGGTAGGGTCCGGGTTGTGGATTGCGGTTGGGTTTTAAGGCCACTGGCCTTAAGGCTTAGGGCGCAAGCCTCACTCTTTCTTGAAGGTAAGCTGGGGACTTGGTCGTTGCTTGGGGCTTCACGCTTGTTGAGGCTTGCGGTTTAGGATTTCGGATTCCTGCGGCTTGCGGCTTAGTATGGGAGTTCAGCAGCCCGAACACCCCAAATCACCTTCAGGAGCAAACAGGGACCCTGCGAGTAGCCCTATGGACCCCTTCTGGAACCCCCGTTTAGTAAACCTCTACAGCCATGTTAGAACCTCTGGAACCCGCCTGCGGCGCATCCTCGTCTACCACGGAAGCAGCCACGCACCGGCGGATGCCTTCGGGGTTTAGGCTTTGGGGCTTGCGGCTTGCAGGCTGATCAGCTTAAGGCTTACCCTTACCCTCAAAGGACTCATATTTTACGGCTTTTGGACCCGAAGACCTGTTATATAAGGCTTTTGGGCTATTTTGGTGCCCAGGGTTACGTTTGAGGTGTAGCTGTACCAAGGGTCGTCTAGACTTTGTGGCACAGGGCCACCACGGCATAAGACGGGTGCTATCCTAGCGGCTGGGGCTTCGTAGGCCTTGGCGGGCGCGTCTCGCTGATATTGTTTTAGGGTTCAGGGAATAGGGTTTAGAGTTTAGGGTTTGGGGTTTAGGGTTTAGGGTTCAGGGTTGAAGGTTTAGGGTTTAGGGTTTGGGGTTCAGTTCAGGGTTCGGGTTTAGGGTTTAGCAGATATGCCATAAGAACGGATGCTAGAGCCTGCTAGAGGAGCCTCTGTCTCCCAATCGGCTTCCGGCAAAAGCACCTAAAACCCTAAACCCTAAGCCCCTCAAACCCTAAGCCCCTACAAGCCTAAAGCCCTAAAGCCCTAAAGCCCTAAAAGCCCTAAAACCCAAAAGTCCTAGGCCCTAAAACCCTAAAGGCTTAAAGCCCTAGGCCCTAAGGTTCTGGGCCCTAAGGCCCCAAGACCCTAAAGGGTTTAGGGTTTAGGGTTTAGGGTTTAGGGTTTAGGGTTTAGGGTGCTAAGGTTCTGGGCTGGGTGCCTTCAAGGCTCTCTGCTTGGATCCGTGGGTTTCGGGCCTGGCTAAGACCTCGCAACCCCTGGGCTCTTGCTAAGGGACTTAGGGTTTAGGGTTTAGGGTTTTAGGGTTTAGGGTTTTTAGGGTTTACGGTTTAGGGTTTAGGGCTTGGTTTAGGGTTTAGGGTTTTAGGGTTTAGGGTTTAGGGGTTTTGGGTTTAGGGATTAGGGGTAAGGGATTTAGGGTTTGGGTTTAGGGTTTAGGAATTTAATTCTAAGTTACCATAATAGGGATCTCTAGTGAATAATATGGTTTCCTTAGTATAGTAACTTAAACTAAACCCCTTAACAAGAACCCAGAACCCAAGCCCAAACCCTACTTCGAGGATCCGGAGACTTAGCAAGTAAGGCTACTAGTGAGGTTTAGGGTTTTAGGGTTCAGGGTTTAGGGTTTAGGGTTTAAGGGTTTAGGATTTAGGGTTTCGGGTTCAGGGTTTGGGGTTTAGGGTTTAGGGTTCAGGGTTTAGGTAGCCGTACTTGTGTCTCGTGATAACCGTAATTAAACTACTTATAGCCTTACTCACTAGGTCCCCTGATCTTGTAAGTACTGGCGACACCTGTCCGCTTGGAGTCGAGCGGGGGGTCTATTTTGGGTCACTTTAGCTTCCTGAGCCCTAAACCCTAAACGTGACACTCTAAAGCCTTTGCTTTTAAAGCCCTCAGCCGCCCCCCAAACCCTCTCTAACCGTAAACCCTAAGCCTCAAAGCCCTACACCCCAACTCCCGCCGAACTCTTGCGTTCGCGCTCGCCCTGGACCCCGAACTTGAGGGCTTTGGGGCCTTAAGGGTGTAGGGGTTTAGAGAGTTAGGGTTTAGGGTTTGGTTTGGGGCTTTAAGGTTTAAGGTCGAGGGTTTATGGTTTGGTGCTGATTTCTGTGCGGCTTAGGCCCCACGCCCTGCACCTCAAGATAGGGGCAGACACCCGACATAAAACAAATAAAGAGTAGTACCATGCCCTCCCAACACCAGCCCCTGTAACATACCCCAACCGCCTATTCTAGTCTTTACGGGCCCTTGGTGTTACACCCGACCCGAAGCCCTCAACAGCTCAAGGCGTCTGAGGGGCCATGCTCCTCCGCAAAGGCCCGGGCCTCACTCCATGGGTGGATCCCGGCTCTTGGGCTTCGGCTTACTGGGCTTAGGATTTATAGGGTTCTGGGTTTAGGGATTAGGATTTCTAGGGCTTAGGGTTTAGGGCTTAGGATTTATAGGGTTTAGGGCTTAGGGTTTAGGGCTTAGGATTTAGGGTTTATGGCTTAAGGGCTTAGGATTTAGGGTTTAGGGCTTAGGATTTGGGGCTTAGGGTTGCCAACACGAGACTGATTTAGGGCCTAAAACTTAGGGTGTTTAGGGCTTTAGGGCTTTAGGGTTTAGGGTGTAGTTCATTAGGGCTTTTGGATCGGATTTTGTTGCAGAGGGGTTAGAGTGTCCCAAAAGGCTTAAAAAGGTTACCACTCTACTGTTTCTGCTCATCGGAGTTCGGATTAGGCGGACCCTTGGAGATATAGACCCTCTCAATCAGGTCCCCTTTAAGTGGGCCATAAGTAGGGTGAAGAAGGGGTCCCCTTAAGGGGTCCCCCTAATACTACCCAGGAATACAAGACCAGGCTGGGCCCAGCACCCAGATTTTCTGAATGGTTTTAGGAGGGGTTTAGGGTTGTACAGCCTCGGGTTGAGGGTTTAGGCGGTTTAGGGTTTAGGGTTTAGTGCTTTGAAAAGTGTCTTGAAGGGCCTTCCATACTTGTTAGATGTACCGTAACCTACGGTTTAGGACCCAAGGGATATAGGATGCCTCTTGGAGTGCTGCATTGGCATAAGTAGTCCTTCACACTTAAACCCTAAACCCTGAACCCCTAAACCCCTAAACCCTAGACCCTTAACCCTTAACCCTAAACCCTAAACCCCTAACCCCTGAACCCCGGAGTCCCATGGCCCCAAGCCCCACCTCGTCTGCAGCGCCATCGACGCAGACCAAGACGAACTTGCAGCGGTCGCCGTAGCTCTCTGCCAGCTCCTCTGGCCATGGTACATAGGGGCCTGAAGGGTTTACTTGGAGGTTCATGGGTAGTTATAAGTGGGGTTATAAGTAGGGTAACTATAGTTATAACCCATATTAGGGGGCTTATAACTCCAGGGGCCTGAAGGGTTTACTAAGGCGTAAAGTTACAAGAAAGGGGAATCTGTCGGTTAGAAGGAAAAGATACAGAGAAAGTTGTAGACTCGGTGGCAGCAGCAACAACAACTCTAACTACTACTGCTGCTACCACCACTATCACTACCACCACCACCGCCACCGCCACCACCTATTCAGGCAACTGGCGTTGGGAAAGGTGTCTCGGGGGCTGAGTCGGTTAAGTGGGGATACTCGGTTTGGCGGTTAGGGTTTAGGGT